CAAGTTGGTCCAATTCTCCTTTATTTTTCTTTGCCTTTTGTTATTGGTTTCATGATTTCCCTAATTTGATTTTCATATGTTAGAATCCTAAAACTCATTTTGCTCGACCATTTTGGATATAATTGTGTTCCTTCCACAAATTTGTAGATACCATTCTCATCTTTCCTTTTCGGAATCCATTGATGATAACTAGGTTTTTTATTTTATTTTTTTATGAATAAGAACCACGAAAACAAACCTATAATATATTCTCGTTTGGCTTTTTTTTTTTTTCCTTTTAATTTTCTTGTTGTACTTAACAAGTAACAGCATTTTTAATACTAGATTCTATTAATCCTATTAGTCAACAATTCTTTTGTCAACCACATGCATTCAGATATTTTTTTACCGTCGTTTTCTTTTCTTTTCCAAAGATTCATAAGGATTCACAAGATTGTGGAATCTCTGTTCATTTTAAAACTTTAGGGAACTAACATTTCATGCCTTCAATTATTCTTTCATTGAGACTTTTGCAGCTAGTGATGCAATCACTTAACTGCCAGTCTAGGAAAATATCTCTATTATTATGAATTCAATTGATTTTCCTTTTCCAAATTGTTTTTCAGAAAAGGATGCAATAATAAGAAATCAGAAATATGAGGATTGAATTGTTAGAATAGAGGCTTAGGTTAGTAAGTTGAGATAAATTCCCTATGGAAGTTGGGATGGGACCTTCGAAATTGCAGCTAAGTTCTAGAGATTGCAATGACTTTAGATCTCCTGTATACTTTGGCAATCGCCTTCCGCAATACATAACACTTAAATACAAATTTTGGAGAGGACTACTCCAATTGGAACTCGAAAGATCAATAGTGAGGTTTCCCTCTTCACCTAAATAAAATATCTTGAGACTTGGAAAGCGAAAAATATTATTTGGAAAGTTTCCTCTTAACACACTTCCCCGAAGATCAAGAGTAGTCAAAGAAGAAGAGAGATTCATGAAGAAACGAGGATTTGCAGATGTGATGTTCACTTCACTAAGCACAAGTTCTCTCACTTCACTCAAGTTCTGAATAAGATTTTTCAAGGTAGTTGTTTCAAGAATCAATTTATGAGAAAAATCAAAATAGAAAAGATTAGACTCAAGAGTGACCGAATTAGAGAGATTGAGGGAAACTAACTTGGGGAGGTGCGTAATTTCTGCTGGAACTTGGCCCGAAAACCAAGAAGAAGAGATGTCAAAATGCTTTAGTCTAGCAAACTGACTAATTTCTGGTGGAATCTTGGAAAGTCTAAAATCATTGAAGGCAAGATTGAGGCTCTGTAGGTTTCTGAGGAGAAAAAGAGTGCTGTTGGAAGGAAAGGTGCCAGAAAGGAGACTGCAGCTGAGATCAAGGGCGATTGTACATGACCTGTGACATTATCACAGCTAACCTCATCCCAAGAACAGCAGTCTATACCTTCCTTCCAGGACT